GCCGTCGGCCGCACGAAGGGCTTGGAGACGGGCACTGCGGGCACCCAGCTGTGAGCGGCCCCCAAAACTGCCGGCCCCTTCCCCCGGTCCTGCCAGGAGCCCCCAGATCCCTCCTGTCCCACCCGGGGATGATCTTGCCAGCCCAGACCACACATTGGCTAGTGATGTGCTGTAGCGGCTAGCAGGAGGGCTAGTGAGAACGTCCACGGGCTAGTGAGGGGGTGTCCTGGCTGTGGGCACAGGAGCAGCCATGTATGGGCTAATGAGACCAGTTACGGGCTGGCGGGATGCTGGGTTGGCCAGGGCAAGGAGATGGGGATGGCTAGTGGGCTGCTATATTGGCTAGTGGGGTGCTATGTTGACTAGTAGGGCACTATGTTGGCTAGTGGGGCACTACCTTGGCTAGTGGGGCACTACAATGGCTGGAGGCAGGGGAGTTCATTGGCTAGTGGTGCGCTATGCTGGCTAGTGAGGCGCTATGTTGGCTAGCAGGGTGCTTTGCTGGCTGGTGGGGCTCTACTTTGGCTAATGGGGCGCTTTGTTGGCTAGTGAGATGCTATGTTGGCTAGTCCGGCACTACATTGGCTCGTGGGGCGCTGTGTTGGCTAGTGGGGTGCTATGTTGGTTTGTGGGGCTCTATGTTGGCTAGCGGCATGCTTCGTTGACTGGTGGGGCCCTTCGGTGGCTAGTGGGCCGCTACCTTGGCTAGTGGGGCTCTACACTGGCTAGCGGCATGCTTCATTCACTAGTGGGGCCCTTCGGTGGCTAGTGGGCCGCTACCTTGGCTAGTGGGGCTCTACACTGGCTAGCGGCACGCTTCGTTGACTGGTGGGGCCCTTCAGTGGCGAGTAGGCCGCTACCTTGGCTAGTGGGGCTCTACACTGGCTAGCGGCATGCTTCATTCACTAGTGGGGCCCTTCGGTGGCTAGTGGGCCGCTGCCTTGGCTAGTGGGGCTCTACACTGGCTAGCGGCACGCTTCGTTGACTGGTGGGGCCCTTCGGTGGCTAGTGGGCCGCTACCTTGGCTAGTGGGGCTCTACACTGGCTAGCGGCATGCTTCATTCACTAGTGGGGCCCTTCGGTGGCTAGTGGGCCGCTGCCTTGGCTAGTGGGGCTCTACACTGGCTAGCGGCATGCTTCATTCACTAGTGGGGCCCTTCGGTGGCTAGTGGGCCGCTACCTTGGCTAGTGGGGCTCTACACTGGCTAGCGGCACGCTTCGTTGACTGGTGGGGCCCTTCGGTGGCTAGTGGGCCGCTGCCTTGGCTAGTGGGGCTCTACACTGGCTAGCGGCACGCTTCGTTGACTGGTGGGGCCCTTCAGTGGCGAGTAGGCCGCTACCTTGGCTAGTGGGGCTCTACACTGGCTAGCGGCATGCTTCATTCACTAGTGGGGCCCTTCGGTGGCTAGTGGGCCGCTGCCTTGGCTAGTGGGGCTCTACACTGGCTAGCGGCATGCTTCATTCACTAGTGGGGCCCTTCGGTGGCTAGTGGGCCGCTACCTTGGCTAGTGGGGCTCTACACTGGCTAGCGGCACGCTTCGTTGACTGGTGGGGCCCTTCGGTGGCTAGTGGGCCGCTACCTTGGCTAGTGGGGCTCTACACTGGCTAGCGGCATGCTTCATTCACTAGTGGGGCCCTTCGGTGGCTAGTGGGTTGCTTCATCGGCCAGCAGCACGCCACGTTGGCCAGCGGAAGACTCTATTGGCTAGCGGGCGAGGGGATGCTTCACGGCAAGCCAGGGGAACGCGACGCTGGCCGGTCCCTGGCTGGGGGGGGGGGGGGGGCCCCCCCGGGAGCCTGTCGGGGATGAGGAGGAGAGTGTCTGGCTCCCAAAAATAGCATCTGACCCCGCGCTGTCAGCTGGCTCGTACCTCGGC